CAAATTGAAAATTTCTATCCATTAATGATTTGGTATAAAAAATAATTTAAGATAATTTTTTCAATTCATTGACAATTTTGATCCTAACTATCATTTGTTAATCACAAATTATTAAATAAAAATTTTTACCAAATACTTAATTTATAATAATTTTAAAATAAAAAAAACATACTAAATATTTATTCTTAACAATTTAGAGAAAACCACTGCACTTACCAAAACTACTATCCCCAACGGGCTTAAAAGGGCCGAGACTTCGACCTAACCAGTTGACGTTACAAAAGCAACCTACTAATCGAAAGATTAAAAGTCAAGAGATTTATGTAATACAATTGAATTATATATTAAAATTATAGTTTATTTTATAATTTTATTAAAATTTTTTAATAAAATAATATAAAAATAATTTTATTAAAAATATTTTAATATATTTATGAAAAAAATTATACTTTTAATACATTAGTTTATCTTATAGAATAATTTTTAAAAAGTCAACATGTGACCCGTCGTCTTTTCAAAAGCATAAGCACGTACTGCAATTTTTCATGTGATTCAATGATGAATAAGCTGTCCAGCAAATAAAATGTTCGTTGACAATGAGTTTAATTTTTTCAAAAAAATAGATAGTAATTAATTTAATTTAAAAATTTTTACGGTAAAAAAAAAAAAACATAAGCAACGTACTCAATGGGAAAGACGAGAGAAGAAGGCGTGGAGAAATTCCGGCTTCGCTGATAGGGACAGGACTGGTTTCCTTGATACAACGGGCTAGACTTTTACCCTTCCAGAAGGAGGAGAACAAACACAAGCCATGAAATTGAAAGGTTTTTCTCCTATGAAGGAAAATCCCTAAAAAAATTAGAAACACAAGGATTGTAAAATGGAGAAAGTAAAAGGAAGTTACGTCTCTACGGGAAACATAAAACATAGCATCGAGTTAGACCTTGACCTAGATAAACGAACATTTAGATTGAATTAGCACGCCTAAACGTGCATGGAGACTGTTTTTCAATTTAATAAGCAATTCTCTTTTTTGGACAAGCTTCGCCTAGATCCACCCTTGCTTAATTATTTTTGAATGAACCAAAAAAAAGAAGAAGAAAGAATTGCGTATTAAATTAAAAACAGTCTCCACGCTTAGGCGTGCCAATTCAATGTAAATTATAGTATTATTTTATTTAGGATCATATCACACCTAATTTATTTAAAAAAAATTAAAATTAAAATCTTAGATGCAAGAATTGGCTAGGCCGGTAGTCTACTCAGTCCGATCAATTGAACCAAAATCAATTGTGAAAATGAATCGACAACTAGTTTGATTTTAAAAATATTGACTTTATTTTTATTGTTATTTTTTAACTTTAATTATTTATCATATTATTAAAATTTTTTCTCTTATCTTTATTTTTTAAAAAAATTAATATAAGTAAAAAAATATCA